TACAAAATATCTTCATGGAACATGATCTTAATATCCTAATGATTTTTGGCATAAAGGAAAAATGTATAATTTTGACCCATGCAATGTATTGTTGGCTATTGCTACAAATATACCCCAGCGACTTAACACTGCTTTTGTGCTCCAGGGTCACAAATGTCAATAAAATCAATCCTGAAATAAACAGGTATAATGTAAAGAAGCTAGAACAGGTGTAGTATGATGAAGTAAGGTGTGTGTACCTGCAGCAGGTGGTAGAGCGGGTATTTGCGGGCCTCGCTGAAGAGTTGCTGCTTGATGCTGGTCAGAGGAGCTTCTCTCAGACACTCCAGACTCACCAGGATCCCGTTCGGCAGACAGCAGTCCACCAGGATCCGAGGAGGCATCAGGTGAAGCCCCCATAACTCTCCTGAGGACGGCCGAGGAGCCATGCTGTCCCCGAACACACACACTCAACACCTGCACACACACACTCACACACACACAGAGAGAGAGAGAGAGATCAGGCTGGAACGTTTCATCACACTGCAAAAAATATTTTCTTCCTTAGTATTTTAGTCTTGTTTTCTAATATAAATATCTCAAAATTCTTGAGTCAGGAAGCATTTACTTGAAAGTAAAGTGACTTAAGATATTTTGTCTTGTTTTCTGAAAATATTACCCAAATTAGGGTTAGTGTTTATTTAAACTGAACTGAGCTGGATGATGACATCACTGAATTCAATGATGAACTGCCTTTAATTGAGTGTTTGCTATTGTCACTTTGCATTATTACACACTATTTTCCTATTTGATATTGTAAAGCTGCTTTGACAAAAATCTGTATTGTTAAAAGCGCTATATAAATAAAGGTGACTTGACTTAAACAAGCAAAAATATCTGCCAATCTTAATTCAGAGGCTAAACAAGATGATTTTTCTTACACCATTGGCAGATATTTGTACTTTGTTTAAAGCAAACACTAACAAAATTTGGATAATATTTTCAGAAAACAAGACAAAATATCTTAAGTCATTTTACTTATCAATTAAATGCTTCCTGATTCAAGTATTTGTAAATATTTATACTAGAAAACAAGACAAAATACTAAGGAAGAAAATCATTTTTTGCAGTGTAGAAACACTCGATCTCCTCACGTCTTCTGTCTCTGGTTGATAGTTTAGAGTGTTTTATCCAGTAAAAGCTCTTTTAGTGTAATTGTAGAAACGCTTCTCGTGTCAAATCTTGACTGGTTTTGATCAAGTAAAGGTCAGAATAACTGCAGTAATATCTCCAGATGAACACTTACTGGACTGAAGCAGCTCAGCTTTACTTGATTCTCCATCAATCATGTTTTAGAGTCTCAAATCTGATCCTCAGGATCTTTTGAGGAGCGTTTGTTTCCAGAAGCTTTACTTTCACTGTTCCTCAGCGGAGGAATGATCTTCACAAGCCTCCAGAACATCTCACATCTTCTGAGGAGCCTTTATTTCTTCAGCTCTCAATCACTGCATTATATGTTTGGAGCATTTCACTCTCATCTTATTATTACTGGAGATATAGAGCCACGACTGATATTTATAGCATTTTATCTCAGTATCTGCTCTATACTGTTAGAAACATCTCACTGATATATATATTTCTGACTATTATTTGATATGTCAGGCTTTACAGGATTAAATTAATCTGACCAGCACATTATTGCTCTTATCGCGGTTTGAACGGTTGGTTGATGTTATGATATATATAATCAGTTATGATGAGATATTATTGCAGCTCTTTTGTCCTGATCCGAGCGGGGGCGCGCACACGGGCACGCGCAGCTGTGAGCGGCACAAAGAGCATCTGAGACGAGTTACTGTAAATACTGTAATATCTCCATCAGCACAGAAACATGCAGCGATGCGGCGAAATCTCCGACTAAAGCTTGTGCTGCATGGCCATATGTAGACTGAATAATATCGGATCGCAGTGTTACAGTAACATCAGCACTGACAGCAGTATAAAGCGCTGTTACTGTTTCACGAGCCTCTCGCCGGCTCCGGTGTCAACGGATCTCACAACAACAGACAACCGTGATGTTTGACAGAAACAGAGATTGTGTTCAGAATCAATCACGACAAACACCGACAGACAGAGAAACACAAACCCACCGTCACACCCGCATCCCGGTGAACAAAGCCTTCATCATCCTCCTCCTCTCTCTCTCTCTCACACACACACACACACACACTCTCACTCACTCACTCACACTCACTCACTCACTCACACT